GAGGAGAAGAGAAGAGAAGAGAAGAGAAGAGAAGAAAAGAAAAGAAAAAAGAAAAGAAAAGAAAAGACAAGACAAGACAAAAAAGAAAATTGGGCCAGGCATGTTGCTGTGCACCTGTAATCCCAGCACTTTGGGAGGCAGAGATGGGAGGATTGCTTGAAACCAGGAGTTTGAGACCAGCCTGGGCAATATAGTGAAATCCCATCTATATCATAAAAAATTTTAAAATTAGCTGGGTGTGGTGGCACATTGCTGTAATCCCAGCTACTTGAGAGGCAAGGCAAGAGGATACCTTGAGCCCAGGAGTTGGAGGCTACAATGAGCGAAGATCACGCCACTCCACTCCAGCCCAGGCAACAGAGTGAGATCCTGTTTAAAAAAAAAAGTTCCCCCATCACCATTTTCTGGGAGTTCACCTTCACCTCACTAATGATGAGTTTGGGTCTCTGACAGTGCTTCCAGAATGCGCCAGGTCCCGTGGTTCCTGCACTCCACCTGGAGCTACGAGAGAGCCGTCAGACAGTACAAGTTGTTATTACACTCCCACCACTACCTGAAGACTGTGATTTCCTGAGGCTGGGCTAATTTTTCTCACCAGGGCTTCTCACTGCCCCCCACAGTGGGTTCCCAGCAACCCCAACCCCTTCTGTATCACCCATGAGAAATCTACACAACAGAGGCTCTGGACTGTGCTTCTTGGGGTGAGCAGGGTGGGGAACGGCAGTGGCTCTACGTTAATCTTGCTGCCAGAAGGAGACTCCATTAGGTTCCTCGGGTCACCATAGTAATAATTGCCCTGGACCAGGTGCAGTAGCTTACACCTGTAATCCCAACACTTTGGGAGGCTGAGACAGGAAGATCGCTTGAGCTCAGGAGCTCAAACCTGGGCAACATAGTGAAACCCCGTCTCTACAAAAATAATAATAATAATAATACAAAAATTAGCCAGGCGTGGTGGCATGTTCCTGTAGTCCCAGCTACACAGGAGGCTGAGGTGGGAGGATTGCTTGAGCCCAGGGGTGAAGGCTGCAATGAACTGTGATTGCACCACTGCACTCCAGCATGGGCAACAGAGCAAGAACCTATCTCAAAACAAACAAACAAAAAGTACCCCAAACTAGAAGCCTTAAAATACAGAAATGTATTCTCTCACAGTTCTGGAGGTTCAGAGTCTAAACTCCAGGTGCAGGAGGGCCATGCTCCCCCTGAAGCCTGTATGGGAGAATCCTCCCTTGCGTCTTCCAGCTTCCGGTGGTGGCCGTCAATCTTCAGCACCCCTTGCCTTGCAGCTGCACCTCTCCAATCTCTGCCTCTGTTATCATGTGATCGTCCCCCTGTGTGTCTGTCCTCATGTTATCTTCCTTCTTCTTATGAAGACACCAGTCACATTGGATTAAGGGTATACCCTACTCCAGTATACCCTCTTCTTATCTAATTATATCTGCAATTACTCTGTTCCCAAATAATATCGCATTCTGAGATACCGGGGGTTAGAAGTTCACCATCTCTTTTGTGGGACACAATTCTACCTATGCCAGACTCGGATACCATGTTTTCAACTATCTCCTATGTCAGATGGGGAAACTGAGGCAGTCAAAAAGAGTGGCTAAAACCCAAAGAAACCTGAGGTCCAATTCCAGCTGGGCCATTTACCAGCAGAGTGACCTCTGGCAAGTAAGTCACCTCTCTGAGCCTCAGTTTCTTTGTCGACAGAATAGGGGTTAATAGTAATCATGCCTTATTCAAAGGCATGTGGTGAATTCCTGTTCTCAGCCACTGCCTGAGAAATACTCTGTCTTGCATTTTCTCATTTCCTTCTTTACCATGAGGGTCCAAAAAGAAATCACAGCTTCAGCAAAGCATAGATAGATTCTGGCCTTTGAAGTCAAAATGACTTGAGTTTGCAAAATAGATGCTTCCTTTCCTAACTGTGTGACCTTAGGAAAGTGACTTCACCTCTCTGTAAACTAAAGAGAATACTAGTCCCTCCCTCCCAGAGTCAGTGAGAATTTAAACAACTGCACATGAAGCTCCAAGCAGAGAATGTACTACATGGTGCTTGATCAGAAGTAACCACTTCTGTGGTCGTGCAGTGCCACTGCAGCAGGCACTGTTGGTATCCCACCCACATCCCCTTGGCAACCACCTACTGGACAGCTTCCTATTGCAAGTACCTGTGATCTCTGCTGTCTCTGGCTACCAGATATCATCAGCTCACATACAGGACATATAGAAAGTGTCAGGGGCACTTCACTATTCACCCCACCCCCCAGCCCTCAACCGATGGCTGATAGGAGGTGGTGAATCAATACCTCAGCTCCCTCACGTCTTGGATGAAACAACCAAAGGTATGAGGTACGCTCTACACAGCCTCCCAGAGGTCCCCAGCAGGACTGAGCCCATTGCCCACCATGTAACCTTCTCCTTCATATACCTGCATTGGGTCCTTTTCTTCCCTGGCTAACTTCCCACTCCCCGCCTGTGGATCACCTCCCCTAGTAAATTACCTGCACTAAAGTAATTGTCTCAGGGTCTGCTTCTGGTGGAACCCAACCTAAAACATGTATTTCTAACCTAAGCTTCAGGGACCCTCAGTCCCTGGCTTTGTGTCTTTGGAGTCCCTCTGAAAGCACCAACCTCCTCCTCTTCCAGGGCTGTCTTCAAACTTCCATTCCCACCTCACTAGAGAGGCTGCTGGGTGTGACTGCCTCAGGGTGTTTGTGCCTGGAAATGCCAAGTTCTTGATCTCCATGAACTTTTCTTTTTCTCTTTCTTTCTTGCTGCGTGCTTGCTTGCTTGCTTTTATTTTTATTCTTTCAGGATCTCACTCTGTTACCCAGGCTGGAGTGCAGTGGCCGAATCATGGTTCACTGCAGCCTCAAACTCCTGGCCTCAAGGGATCCTCCCACCTCAGCCTACCTAATAGTAGGACCACAAGTGCACAGCACCATGCCTAGCTAATATTTTTTTGTTTTTTTGTAGAGATGGGGTCTCACTGTGTTGCCCAGGCTGGCAACAGGTTGCGGGGTTGCCCTCCTGGTTGGGCTCAAGTGATCCTCCCATCTCAGCCTCCTAAAGTGCTGGGATTGCAGATGTGAGCTACCATGCCAAACACCACTCCCTCACCATCATGAACTCTTTTCTCTGCTTACCACCTAGCCTGAGACCCACACGAGAGAAGAGCCACACCCCAAGTTGGACAAATGCCCACTGCATGGGGCATCCTCCTTATATGCGAAGGTCAGCCTTGAGGTTTGCAGGTTTAGGTCAAGAGGGCACACACGAAGCTCTGGAATCATAATTTTAAGAATTAAAAAAAGAAAATCAGTGGAGCCCTTTTTACAAAGTAAGTCAAAGGAGGAACTTCAAAATACAAAATAGGTAACTTGGGGCGGTGACCCTGACCTTCATCCTCAAAGCTGCCTCCTTGCTTTCTACTGTGGCCACTGAGAGCTGGAGGAGGTAGGGTTGCCAGTTAAAATACACGACACCCAGTTAAATTTTAACTTCAGATAAACAAGGAATCGCATTTAGTATGACTATGTCTCATGCAATATTTGGAATACACTCATGCTGAAAAAATTATTCGTGTTTATTTGAAATTCAAATTTAACTGAGCTTATAGTTTCATTTTCATTTGTTTGTTTCTTTGTTTTTGCTAAATCTGACCACCCCACCTAGGATCCCCTGATACTGCTTAAAACTACTTTGTCTGTGACTGTCCCTTAGATGGGCCTGGACTCTGGCAGTCAGTTTCCTCCAAGACTTTTTTAAAGGGCCCACCCAGGAAAGGACAGGGATGTGGATGATGTCTGCATCCCAGTGGGGTCTTGGTCACCTTGAAATGGAGCAAAGCTAGGGTAAATTTGAACTCCAGGCCTCTGGCTATGAAAACTAGCCTGTCCCCTCTGGAGGTCACTTGATTCTTTTCAACTGATTCTCCTTAGCTGTGATTGTAACATCCTGGAACACAGAATGTAGAAAGAAACTGGAGGCCTGAGGCATCACCATCAGCCAGCATGGTGCTAGGGGATGTTTTTCTCTGTACCAGGTGGGCCTGGTCATGTGGGAGCAAGAGACGGGAAAGTGGGAGAAGTTGAGAAGTTACATGCATGTGAACGTGCCTTCTTTGGCAAAACATTGGAATTTACTAAGAACCACATACCCCTCCCCACTCAGAGGACACAAGGAACATTCTGACTGAGGGAAGAATTTTTATGAACTCCTCATCTAAGAAGCATACCAATGAGCCACCCATCCACTCCTCCACACATCCATCCATCTATCCATTCGTTCATTCAACAAATGTTTGCTGAGCACCTATTACGTGCCAAGTTTTATGCTGAGTGCTGGGCATACAAGCCCTAAAAGGGACATACCTAGTCCTGACCCCATGGATTTCCCCTATGTAATGGGAAAAACAAAGAAGGATGTAAGCAACCCAAAAAATAAATAAACTGATTACAGAGTACAAGTTCTTTGCAGGATTCATATCCTGTGATCCTTAGTTCACTTTTTATTAAATTTAAAAATGCTTTTGTTCATCCCCATCTCCATTTCTGCCAGTAAAATTGAGCTCCAGGAACCAACTTTTTTGTTATAATATCAAACAGTGACATTCCAGGGCCTGGCCTTAACAATGTAGAAGGCTTCACAATTAACAGAGGAAGTCTCAAAAGATGATGAAGAGGAGAGTTCCTCTCCCCTGTAGTGACCATGGGGCAGATATCTTCCTCCTTCACAAAATGAGCTTCAAAGAAATCGATTTGATAAGATGCGAAATTGAGAACATTCTTAGGAACGTGCAGTCTCATTTTTCAGTGCCATATGGAGGTGTGTGTGAATATCTATAATTCTTAAGCAACTGGACCTGAAAGTACACTGTGAGCAAAGGGGTCCTGAGAAATTCCTAAGAGTTTAGAAATTCTTAAGACATTATTTTCATGCCCTGTGAAAATAACGTTCAAAGAGAGTCATGGCATTCTGATTGATTACCTTACCTGACAATGGGCTGCCTGGTAATCATTGCAGTGAGCATCTCTGTGCCATCCAGACAGAAGTAGCTGTGGGAGAGTAGAGTCAAATCAGAAGAGGAGTCACTGACACTTTCTTCTTCTCCCTCGAGACTGATTGGGGGAAAGACCTATGACTCTAGTAGATTCCATATTTTTAATAAAAAGACTGGAAATCTAGCTCTCTAAATAAATCATTTTAATTTGGTGATTAGGGAAGATCATCTCTGATGAGATGGCAAAATGCTGAAAAGCTGAGACCCGAAGTTAAGAAATTCATCCTTAAAGAGTAGGAAGAGGTTGGGCACAGCGACTCATGTCTGTAATCCCAGCATTTGGAAGACCGAGGTGGAAGGATTGCTTGAGCCCAGGAGTTCAAGACCAGCCTGGGCAACATGACAAGACCCTGTCTCTCCAAAAAAAAAAAAAAAAAGTAAATTAGCCAGGTGGCCCACGCCTGTGGTCCCAGCTACTCAGGAGGCTGAGGTGGGAAGATCATTTGAACCCAGAAGGTTGAGGCTGCAGTGAACTGTGACCTCACCACTGTATTCCGACCTACGTGACAGAGTGAGACCTGTCTCTAATAAATAAATAAATAGCAAAAATAAAATTAAAAAGAGAGAGCAGGAAAAACAGCATTACAGACACAAGAAATAGCAAGTGCACTCCAGCCTGGGTCACAATGAGATCCTGTCCCAGAAACAAAAAAGAAAAACAGCAAGAGCAAAAGCCTGAGACAGGCGTTAACTCTTGAGCATTCGAGACGCCTAACAAAGACAGCAGAAGTGGAACACAGGGAGGAAGCACGCGGAGATGAGGTGGAGAGGTCCATGGTGGTCAGCACTCAAGGCTCTGTGGAGCATGCATTTTATTCTTCTAGTGATGAGAGCAAATAGATGGCTTCAAGCCGGAGAATGAGCTTTCACAAAGCAGGCTTAGTTGTGCAGAAAGATCAGAACGCAGGATTGGTCACTGTTGGAGCTGACTTTTCATTCTGCGTGCACACTGTGGCTCAGCATAGGAGTTACCTTTTGACTTCTCATAAAATTACCTGCACTTTGTAAATAATCTGACTCCCCTGGTCCAACAGAAGCAGAAAGAAAAAGTTTAAAGCCAAAATAATACAAAACAAAAAAGAACCTGCTTACCCCTGAGAGCATGAGCATGAGGGACATGTTGTCTACTGCCAGCATGGAGTGGGAAATGAGTTTGGAGTTGGCCCTCCACAGGGGGGATTTGTGGTTCCTTGAAACTGTCAAATAAATCACCCATATTTAGTAACTGTAATATTGTTTGGGTATTACCTTCAACGGATTTGTCTGACATTCCAGGCATCTTATTTCCCTGTCCATCAAAGTCCCACTCACCATTACACACCCAGCTGAATGGCTAAAGTGGAAGGAACTGACACCACCAAACATTGGCAGGGGTGAGGAGGAACTGGAATGCTCATCTATTGTGAGTGGAAGTACAAAATGGTACGACCATTTTGGAAATTTTGTAGCAGTTTATTAAAAAGTCAAACATATTTGTTATGTGGCCCATTAATCCTGCCCTCAGAAATTTACCTAAAAGAAATGAAAACATATCTTCAAAAAATCTTGTGCAAGAATGTTCATAGCTGCTCTACTCGTTATAGGCAAAACCTGCAGATATCTCTGATGTCCATCAACAGGAGAACAGATAAACTGAGGTATATTCATAGTATTCAGCAATTAAAAAAAAGAAATGAGTGGTCCAGCATTATGGCTCAAGCTTGTAGTCCCAACACTTTGGGAGGCCAAGGCAGAAGGATTGCTTGAGCCCAGGAATTCAGGACCAGCATGGGCAACACGGTGAAATCCTGTCTCTACAAAAAATTGCAAAAACTAGCCAGATATGGTGGCCTGTGCCTGTAGTCTCGGCTATTTTGGAGGCTGAGGTGAGAAAATGGCTTGAGCCAGGGAGGTTGAGGCTACAGTGAGCTGAGATCGTGCCACCGAACTCCAGCCTGGGCGACAGAGTGAGATCCTGTCTCAAAAAAAAAAAAGAGGGGGGAGGGGAATGAGCTATTGACCTATGTTACAGCATGAAGAAATATCGAAAGCATTATGCTGGATTAAGAAAAAAACAAATGGAAAGGGTACATGCTGTGTATGATATCATTTACAAAAAGTTCTTGAAAAAGAAACACTAACTTAACAGTAATAGAAATCAGATCAGCAGTTGCTTTTGGGAATGAAGGAGTTACCTAGCACAATGAAGTTTTCTGTGGTGCTGGTGATGCCTTTTGTTTCTTAATAGAGATATCGGTTGCACAAGTGTATGCCTTTATCAAACTGATGTAACTGTGTACTTCACATTAAGAATTTCACTGAATATAAAAGATAATTTAACAATTAACTCAAGATGGATTAAAGACTTAAATGTAAAACCCAAAACTATAAAAACCCTGGAAGACAACCTAGGCAATACCATTCAGGACATAGGAATGGTAAAAGATTTTATGACAAAGATGCCAAAAGCAATTGCAACAAAAGCAAAATTTGACAAATGGGATCTAATTAAACTAAAGAGCTTCTGCAAAGCAAAAGAAACTATCAACAGAGTAAACAGAAAACCAACAGGACGGGAGAAATTTTTTGCAAACTATGCATCTGACAAAGGCCTAATATTCAGCATCTATAAGGAACTTAACCCAATTTACATGAAATAAACAACCCCATTAAAAAGTGGGTAAAGGACATGAACAGACACTTTTCAAAAGAGGACATACATGTGGCCAACAAGCATATGAAAAAAAAAAAGCTCAACATCACTGATCATTAGAGAAATGTAATCAAAACCACAGTGAGATAGCATCTCACACCCGTCAGAATAGCTATTATTAAAAAGTCAAACTAGCCGGCGCCTGTAGTCTCAGCTACTTGGGAGGCTGAGGCGGGAGAATGGCGTGAACCCGGGAGGCGGAGCTTGCAGTGAGCCGAGATCACGCCACTGCACTCCAGCCTGGGAGACACAGCGAGACTCCGTCTCAAAAAAAAAAAAAAAAAAAAAAAAAAAAAAGTCAAAAAACAACAGGTGCTAGGGAGGCTGCCGAGAAAAAGGAATGCTTATACACTGCTGGTGGGAGTGTAAATTAGTTGAGACATTGTGGAAAACAGTGTAGCGATTCCTCAAAGACCTAAGAACAGAACTACCATTCAACCTAGCAATCCTATTACTGGATAGATATCCAAAGGAATATAAAGTTTTCCATCATAAAGTCACATGCACACGTATGTTCCCTGCAGCACTATTCACAGTAGCAAAGACATGGAATCAACCTAAATGCCCAACAATAATAGGCTGGATAAAGAAAATATGGTACATACACTCCATGGAATACTATGCAGCCATAAAAAATGAGATCATATCCTCTGCAGGAACATGGATGGAGCTGGAGGCCACTATCCTTAGCAAACTAGTCCAGGAACAGAAAACAAAATACCGCATGTTCTCACTTCTAGGTGGAAACTAAATGATGAGAACATATGGACATATAGAGGGAAACAACACACATTAGGGCCTATCAGAGAGTGAGAAAAGGGAGAGGGTCAGGAAAAATAACTAATGGATACTAGGCTTAATACTTGGGAGGTGAAATAATCTGTACAACAAACCCCCATGGCACGAGTTAACTATATAACAAACCTGCATGTGTGCCCTTCAACTTAAAATAGAAGTTTAAAAACAAAGAATTTCCCTGAATATAAAGGGCATCTCATTTTTAATGTAAAAATAAATAAGATTCTATTACCCTGGGCAGTCTTCTCTACCTTTTTGGTGTAGAACTACACCTCAGAGTTACTACACAAGGGGAGGTAGCTGGGGTATTTATATACCAACTCCTATTAGTCATTGGATGAGGGCTGCTGGAAGTGGAGGTGTAATTCCCCAGCACCTCCAGCTGGCCATGAGTACCAGCAGAGCAAGCCCAGTGGGCAAAGAGAGCTCCTTTAGGAAAAAAAATTGCAGAAATGTGGGAGTCAGGCTGGCATGCATGAAACTGGCACCTACCAGGGTAATATGGGTGGGACCCCAACAGCATCCACCGCAGGCCTTGTTGTGTCTGCTCCTATAGCCTCCTGTGTGTATAATTGTATCCTAACAGAAATTAGAAGTTTGGGTTACAGAACCAGGCAGACCAAGCCTCAGATTTCAGCTCTGTCACTTTCTAAGTGACATGTTGAGCAAATGGTGCTTCTTCTGAAAAATGGGGTTCATGCATTGTTGAGGACATTCAATAAGATAATCTCTGTTCTGGGCTTACCATAGCACATAATATGAACTCTTATTATGGCACATCAGAGAAACTCCAATAAACACTAACAGCAACAATTATTTTTTTCTACTATGTTCATTCTATTTTCCAAAAAACAGTCAAACTCAAAATTTTTTCATGAAAGATTTTCTCTCTTAAATTATTTTGAAAATTTAATTGTTGAAAAGATAATACATTTACAAAGTTTGAAATCCAAAAATTATTAAAGGATACGCAGAAAAGGCTTTCTCCTTTGACACGCCAGCCACCCAGTTGCCCTCCCCACAAGCAAATGGGATTATCAGTATGTTTGTGTATTTTTCCAAAGGTATTTGCAGATGGTAGTCTAAAATTCTATTCTAGGTCTGCTTCTGTTTATCTATGACTGAATCTAGTACATGAATCAGTGTTTGGTTTGGCATGAATAATATATGCAGGTTTTATTTTGAAAGCATGTTAGATTTACGAAAGAGTAGCAGAGATGATACAAAGAGTTCTTGGACATCCTTCACCCAGCATCCCCCAGTGCTACTATTTTACATAACCACAGTGCATTTATCAAAACTAAGATGGTGATGTTGGTACCCTGAAATTAACAATACTATAGATTGTATTCAGACTTTACCAGTTTTTTCATTAAAGTGGATCTAATCCGGGATGGTGTGTTGCATATGTCTTGGCATCCCTTTAGGGCACCAAGATACCCAGTGCTCCACATTTAAGAATTGCTAGCACAGAGGAGCATGGAGCACTTTATTGGTGTCACTACCACAATGGGACTGGAAATTCAGGTCACCACCCTACTATGTGTCCTTGGAAACTCACCTTTCCTCTTTGGGCTTTAGTCTCCCATTCAGTACAATGCAGCAGTGAAACCGTATTAGCCTTTCTGAACTTGCGTGGTCAAAGCAATGTGATGAACTCCACACACTCTAACACCTCTTAGACATCCCAATGTTCATTAGCATGTTAAAGGTTCTGATAAGTCCTGCAACAAAACACCTGTTTTAATATCACTTAACTCAGCATTGCTCAGGCACATTGGATTAGGGAGGCAATTTTTAACCCTCCATATTTATCTACAGAAGTGTGTTCTTCTGTAGAACCTTTGGGGCATGATGGACTAAATGGAAATAAAGCCTGTTAACAGAGCCTCAGCTTGATGGGGATTCAAGAGCAAGCACACTGCCTAGAGAAGGCTGGTCATGAAAATTTGGAAGGAGAGACACAAAAGGGAAGGCTGACCAAAAACTTGGCTGACTTTCCCTTGGCTTCCCAGATCTCCTTAGCCAGCCCAGCTCCTGGACATTGTGGAAACCCTATGGAGCTGCATGTGGCAACCCGTTTGGAAGAAAACTTAGCAATGTACCTCAAATTGTCAGTGCACGTGCTCTTGAGCTCAGTGATAATGTATCTAGATGCATCCGTACCTGAGCACAGAGGGGTCTGTGCAGGCTAATTACAGCCTCATGGCTTGAGGTGGCAAAAGACTGAAAATAATGGAATGTCCCATTATACAGGAGTGATTACAGAAACGGCAGTCCATGCAGGCAGTGGAATTCCACACAGCCATTAAGAAAAAGAGTGTGTGTGTGTGTGTGTGTTTGTGTGTGTGTGTATACATGCTCACATGCACCTCACATATACTCAGTCACAATGTACGGCCCATCTCAAGAAGGAGAACATGACACTGGGAACCGTGGTTACCCCCAAATAGAAGAACTGAAAGACCTGGAGACAGAAGGGGAAGAACTTGATTTTTCACTGACTACTCCTCTGTACCTTCCTAGTTTTGTACCTTGCAAGCATTGCTTACTTAATGAATTAAAATAATAATTTCAAAAAGAATGAGACATGGTTTAATTTATCTATAAAATGGAATACTGTACTAAATGCAGTTGTTTAAAAAGAAGGGAAAAAAAGAAAGAATGGGGAAGCTGTTTGTGTACTGAAATGAAAGTATCTACACGTTTCAGTGAAAAAAAAGCGAAATGTAGAAATATATATAGATTATATTATTCCTGAGTTTAAAGGGGTTTAAAATAAGATTATAGATATATTTTCTTGGATATATGTATATATGTAAAAAAATTCTGGAAGGATATTAAAAAGCTAATATAATCATATGAAAATAATCATAGTTATGGGGGGCTGGCATGGAAGCAGGAAACGTTTCACTCTATTCCTTCAAATATATTCAGATATATTACACCTTTATATATTTTATTATATGTATTTGAACAATGAGTATATTGCCCCTTCAAAGTTACATAAATATGAATGCAGGAAATCTATATGGACAGATGCATAACAATTTTCCATATATAGGTAAACAGAAAGAGCAAGTTTGCAGAATAGTATGTATAGTATCACTTGTCTACCAAAAGATGTATGTGTGTATGTGTGTATGTGTTTATATACATTTATATACATACATATATATACATTTATATACACACACACACAATTGAAAGCACACACTCTTCCTGGAAGAATTCAGAAAAAAACTGCTAACAATGACTTCCCCTTTTGTGGGTACCTGGAGACAGACAGGGATTATTCACCCTGAAAAACTAGTTGAATGTTTACCACGTGTGTAAAATTTTTTTAATGTTTTAAAAACATCTGTGAAATAATGATCACCATAACAAAGTTTTTTGAGCAAAAATGTACAAATAAATGTTTCTCCTTTGGGAATGAGAGGTATAAATTTCAGTCCATCCATACTCTAGAATCCTCTTCAGATATTAAAATATTTGAAAAAGTAAATGTCAGCCAGGTGTGGTGGCTCACACCTGTAATCCCAGCACTTTGGGAGGCTGAGGTGGGAGGATCACTTAAGCCCAGGAGTTCAAGACCAGACTGGCCAACATAGCAAGGCCTCATCTCTACAAAAAAATAGAAAAAAATAGCCTGTAGCCCTAGCTACTCAGAAGGTGGGAGGATCCCATGTGCCCAGGAGTTTGAGGCTGTAGTGAGCCATGATTGCACCACTGCACTCCAGCATGGGTGACAGAGCAAGATCCTGGCTCAAAAAAAACAAAAACAAAAACAAAAACAAAAAAAAACAAAAAAAAAAACCTAAATGTATATTTATTTATGCTGACCTGAAAAGAAACAATGTATTATTAAACAATGTGTTATTGGGAAACAACGTATTTTTATGAAACAAAGTATTATTAAGTAAAATTTCAGAACCAAAAATATGATATTACCCAATTTTTGCAGTAAAGCCTCTATGTACTTGTGTGTACACATGCATATATATTGTATTATATAAACAATATGTAGAAGATTCAAATCCTGACTCTCTTGCTTATTAGCTGTGTGATCTTGAGCTAGTTACTAAAAATTTGGGGGCCTCGGTTTCCTCACTTGTAAAATGGATGCAATTATTCTACCAGCCTTGAATTAACTTATGTGATTCTTCTAACAACTTAGAGCAACAGTCCTTAACCTTTTGGCACCCGAGACCAAGTTTATGGAAGAATTTTCCATGGATGGTGAGAGTGGGGATGGTTTCAGAATTATTCAAATGTGTTTCATTTATTGTGCACTTTATTTCCACTATATTATATTGTAATACATAATGCAATAATTATCCAACGCATCATAATGTAGAATCAATGGAAGCCCTGAGCCTGTTTTCCTGCAATTAGACAGTCCCATCTGGGGGTGATGGGAGATAGTGGCAGATCATCAGGCATTAGATTTTCATAAGGAGCATGCAACCTAGAATTCTCACATGGGCAGTTCACAATAGGATTTGCTCTCTTATAAGAATCTAATACCACCATTGATCTGATAGGAGGCAGAGCTCAGGCAGTAATGAGAGTAATGGGGGATGGCTGCATATATAGCTGAATCTCCACTGGCTTGCCCCACAGCTTACCTCCTGCTGTGCAGCCCAGTTCTTAACAGGCCATGGACCAGTACTGGTCCACTTTCACACTGCTGTAAAAGAATACTTGAGACTGGGTAATTTATAAAGAAGTTTAACTGACTCACAGTTCCACATGGCTGAGGAGGCCTCAGGAGACTTACTATCATTGCAGAAGGGGAAGCAGTCACCTTCAAAGTGAAGGGGGAAGACCCCTTTATAAAATCGTTAGAACTTGTGAGAACTCACTCACTATCACAAGAACAGCATAGGGGAAATCACCCCTACGATCCAATCACCTCCCTCCCTTCATACACGGGGATTTTCCATTCAAGATGAGATTTGGGTGGAGACACAGAGCCAAACCGTATCAATCAGGAAATTGCTAACGTGTTTGATGTGCATTACAGAGACAGGGAGCCAGTGGTGTTCACTGGCACACTCTACACTGATTACCCTAGAATATGGGATTTGAGTGGGCCAGGAAGAACCAACACCTTCTATTTTATATACTGCTATATTGTTTGTTTGGTTTTGGTTTGTTTTTACAACAAGCGTGCATTATTTTACAATTAAGCTAGAAGAAATAATACAAGAAAACAAATTAGTTGCAAGGAGGCAGACACTCTCCGACCCACAGCTGGGGAGAGCAGGGGCTGCATGCAGTGTGACCATACCTCACATTTTGCACCCATAAAGCAGGGAGACAGGACCCAAGCAGCACACTGCGCACCCTGCAGCTAAATCTGTCTACTTTCCTCCCTTCTGCAAGACACAGGTGACTCCAGAGTCAGAAATTACATCTGGGCTGTTCAGATTTGTGGCCACTCTCCCCAGTCATTCAGAACACGGGGAAATTCAGCCTCATGCCACCATTTTTCAAGCACCACTGGTAGAGGAGGAGACATCAGCCCTGCACCCACCTTGGTCTGAGCACCCATCTTCGTGGAAGATGTTGGGAGAAACAGCATTTCTTCAAGGGCATTTGCAAAGGGCTTCAGTTAACAGAGGGCCTACAAAACCATTACCCATGAAATCCCTTCAGCATCCCCTAATGAAGATCCCCTGTCGACAGACCAAGAAAAGGGCTCCAAGAAGGAAAAGATGCACCCAAGGTAACACAGCTGGAAAGTAAAGAAACCCACATTTAAACACAGATCTGTCTGTCCCAGTGCACATGCAGTTGAGGCCACACAGGAGCAGAGGTTGGATCCACTGCATTTCAGAGAAACCGTTCATTTACTCAACAAAAATGGAACCAGGTGTTTCATACCTGCTGCATGCCAGGCCCTGACCTAGACTCTGATAGCACAGAGATTTGTTTGCCATTCAACACAGGTTTATTTGACACCTACTCTCCTCCAGGAACTGGGCGAGGCACTGGGGCTACAATGGAGGATAAACAGGCATGATCCCTGCTCTCAGAGTCCCTGCTCTCAGCGTCCCTGCTCTCAGAGTCCCTGCTCTCAGATTCTTTTGCAAATAAGGGGAAACAGTTACTTATCCTAAAATGAAGGTGATATAGTACCTTCTGAGGGGAGGTCCACAGAGCTGATAACATGAATTTGAATTAATCTGGGAAATCCAGGAAGGTTTCCCTAAAGAAGTGAAGCTTGTACTAAAATCTAAAGAAGAAGTAAAGAAGATGAGGAGGGAAAGAAAAGGCATCCAAGCAATTAAAACAGCATGTGCAAAGGCCCTGTGGTAGGATGCACCAAGGACCCAAAGGCGACCCTTTTGGCTGGACTAGAGAGATCAAGGGGTAGTGCCATGTAAAGTGACAGTGAAAATGGAGACAATGGCCAGGTGTGGTGGCTCACGCCTGTAATCCCAGCACTTTGGGAGGCCGAGGCGGGTGGATCACCTGAGGTCAGGAATTCGAGACCAGCCTGGCCAACATGGTGAAACCCCATTTCTACTAAAAATACAAAAAATTAGCCGGGCGTGGTGGTGTGCACCTGTAATCCTAGCTACTCAGGAGGCCAAGGCAGGAGAATTGCTTGAACCCAGAAGGTGGAGGTTGCAGTGAGCCAAGCTCATGCCATTGCACTCCAGCCTGGGCAACAAGAACAAAACTCCATCTAAGAAAAAAGAAAAAAGAAAAAGGAGACAACGAAAACCCATCCAGGTAAGGATCTGGTCTTCACCCTAAGGCAATGAGAAATTCTCAAAGAATTCTAAGAAAGACTGAAATGATTAGCTTCACCCTCTGGCAATCAAATAAGAGTAAGAGAGGTATAAAGAAGTAATCAAAACCAAAAAGATACACCTGAGACAGAATAAATTCAGGTAGCTGCGCAGTCACCTAAGGCAACTAGAGGGAGAGGAGCTTCTTAGAGGAGATACTCTAAATAAAATATTTTTTAAGCCCATCACAAAATCCTGAATCTGAAAGGTTCAAACTGGCTCCTTCCAACACAGGTGCAGGCCCATTTCAGAGATGAGGTCCAGGGACCCCAGTCTCATGGTGGCGGACCAGAGACCAGAAGCCACAGGGCTCTCTCTGACTCCTTGCAGAGTGCTTACAGGTTTGCCTGGCTGGATTAAATTACTAATTTGTCCCTAAGCCTCAGCAACAAGCCAGAGGCTAAACAGGCCTGATGCAGGCAGAACCCTGGGCTCATCCCAGAGTCCCCAGAGTCTCTAACACACCAGGGTGGGAGGTGAGACAGGTCTGGGGAGCTGGAAGCCTGTGCTTCTCCCCGAGAGAATCTCCTACTTCCAGCTGGAGAGCCCCCCACAAAGCCATCTAAACAGCCCCGGGGGGAGGTATTCAGGTAAGAGGACTCCAGGGAGCCCTCAGAGTAATTTTCAAGGAGGGCTGAGGCCAGTGAGAAAAGGGATTATTAGCTCTGCTCTCTGGAGGGAAGTTGATGGAGACAAGTCAGCCAGTGGGTTACTCAGGGGAAGGGGCATTTATAGTCCCTTTCCTTCTAAGCAGAGGACATTCATGATGCCTGGGGATTCAGAGACCT